TGCTGCTGATGGTGATGCTGCTTATGATGATGTTGCTGGTGTTGATGAAGATGATGATGATGCTGATGATGATGATGATGATGATGATGATGATGATGTTGATGCTGACACTGCTAATGATGCGACTGATGATGTTGATGGTGATGATTATGATGATGGTCATGATGATCATGCATGTGAGCGTGAGGGTGATGATGCTGCTGATGATGCTGATGATGATGAGGCTGATGCTGATCAGTGTGATGATGATGGTGATGATGATGCAGGTGATGATGATGGCGATACTGATGGATATGGTTATGATTATGATGTTGATGCTGTTAATGACGACGATACCGACGATGGTCATTGCAATTATGCTGTTGATGATGCTGAGGATGATGACCATCATGATGGGGATAATAATAATGACGATGATGAGGATGGTGATGCTGGTGGTGGTGATGGTGATGGTGATAGTGATGACGACTATGTGCGGACGAGGGGATCATATCGAGGAGCAGCACACACGAGATAGGGTATGAGAGGGGTAGCGGGGGAGCAGGAGGACACTCGGGCAGAGGAGGGCACGAACTGGGAGTGGCGGAGGAGGAGCAGCAGAAGCAGCAGCCGAACGAGGATAGTGCGGAGTGAGGATGGTCGTAGGAGGCTTATTCTGTGTGTGTGCTTGTGTCTTTGCTTGTTCGGGGCTCCTGGGGGAGCAGTAGGAGCAATACTAGGGGGAGGAGACGGAGGAGGATTGTGAGGACGATGATAAGGAGGACGGCAAGGATCAGACCTAGGAGGGACATGGCGAGGAGGAGCAAGATGATGACGAGGATGCGGAGGAGGAGGGAGAAGACAGCGAGGAGGAAGAATCTGATACGGAGCAGGAGGAAGATCGGGAGGATGATGGGATGGATGAGTAGCGGGGAGGGGGAGGAGGGAGAGGAGGAGGAGGAGGAGAAGGAGGAGGGCAGGAGCATAAGGACCAGAGTGGGAAAGGGTGGGACACAGTGACGAGCAGATGTGGCCTCTGGTAAATCGTGCCTCTGCCCCGGATACTGGCCCACGGACGTCGCCGCAGGCCTCAGGAGGTTTTTGCAGGGCGGGCGGCAATGGGCGGCAGCAACTGTGGGGGACTGAGGGCTGCAGAAAAGTTGCCCTGACGGGGCCCTAAACGGCCCCTAAAGTGCCACCGCGTGTCCAGAAGGTGTCCGAAAGGTGTACGTTTGTTCACCCCCCCGCTAACGAACACGCGGAGAACGCAATGGTGCCAGCACGCCCTAAACACTTGCCTCATCAATCCCCGAGGCTTGCGGGCAAGACTTCGCAGTGGCCTCGGTCCTCCTCCTTCTGGTGGTCCTCTGGGCGTGGCCAGTTTGATAGACGTATCTGTACCGTTTTACCACGGTCAACCTTGCTCAGCCGTATTCGCACTTCTCATCTCCGTCTGCCGATGTCAAGATTTGTGCTGCCCTCTCCAGCTATCGTCGGCGGGTCGGACTGGCAGAGGCGCATCCTTATACCGCGCACGTTCGCTTGGAATGGTCAGGTTTCTCTTTTCTCTGCTGCTGCCGTGAATAAGTTCGATGGGCACGGTGGATGTACCAATCATCGGTTGTCGCCCTTCGCTGCCATCGGTTAATATGTCCATCTGCTTGGGGAGACGGGCGTGGCGTTAACCTTGACATCTGGTGTTGCAACAAGGAAACGTAGCAAAAAAACACGACCGGACCCCCGGACCTGGACCGCATCCTTCAGCGTCGGTTTTCGAGCCGGATCGATCTGTCAGGGTCCCAGGGCCCGAAATGGAGAGCGAACACGCCCGGCTCGAAAAAATTGAGTCGCCAGGGTCTCAGGGTAGGTCAGACCTCATCGCCCACAGACTGCCGCACACGACGGTCGCTCAGCGTCGCCAACAGATATTCCCGGGTCGCACTTGCTTCTCGCACCACCGCGTCCTGATGTCGTCGGCGCCTCGCCGCTACCGTCAAAGCTCACATTACGGACGCACGGACATCCTTGGGGTACCCTGGCGTCCTTGCCTCTGCGGCCCGTCCCTCGCGGTTTTTTACTGGCAAGCCCTTCAGGGTGTCGGCAGCCCGCCATCCCCAAAGTGCCAATTTCGGCGTCCAAGGCCCTTAATACAGATTTCGACTGCACCGTCGTCTCCCCGCACTGTTCCCGCGGGGTGACGGCGCCGCCAGGGCGGTGCAGCGCCGATGCAGAACACATAGATGCAACACATCCGATGCAACAGAACATGTTTTTGGGTGTCTTCTGTTGCTTGGTTTGACAGAAGGAGGAGGAAGAGGAGGAGGAGGAGGAGGAGGAGGACCAGGAGGAGGAGGAGGAGGAGGAGGAGGAGGAGGAGGAGGAGGAGGAGGAGGAGGGAGGAGGAAGAGGAGGAGGAGGAGGAGGACCAGGAGGAGGAGGAGGAGGACCAGGAGGAGGAGGAGGAGGAGGAGGAGGAGGAGGAGATGACCTGCCCTGGGCAGGCCGCCCGCTTCTTTCCCTCGGCCTGGCCTCGCCACCGGGTGTTCGCGCCCCGGGCAGCGGAAGGCTTCCCCTCTCTCCCAGGGCGTCGAACCTCTGCCGCGTACACCTTAGGCGATGCTTAAGAAAACCTAAGTTTTCGTCCAGAGTCTCGATTATTCTTAATGTTTCAATGAAAATCCTAAGATTTGAATGGAAACTTTAGGCTTTTATTCCAGTTCTGAGACTATGAATTTCTTAACCCATGATTTCTTAAGCATTTCGCAGGGTGTACGCGGCTCGGCCTGGCCTCGCCACTGGGTGTCCGCGCCCCGGGCAGCGAGGGCTTCCCATCGCTCCCGGGGCGTCGGACCTCTGCCGCGTACCGTCGCCGTCTCGATGCGCCCGCTCTGAGAGGCAGCACGTACGGCGGCGGGGCCGCCCGCTTCTTTCCCTGGCCTGGCCTCGCCACTGGGTGTCCGCGCCCCGGGCAGCGAAGGGTTCCCGGCTCTCCCGGGGCGTCGAACCTCTGCCGCGTAGCGTCGCCGTCTCGATGCGCCCGCTCCGAAAGGCAGCACGTAACGGCGGGCTCGCTTCGATTCCTCCGATTCGATTCGATTCGACTTCGGTGGATTCCGATTCCGACTCGATTCGACCTGGGATTCCGATCTGGGCTCCGATTCCTTATCGGAGGCATACTAGCCTGCCGATTTCCGCCGATCCGACTTTTCCCGATTCGGCTGCCGATTTCCGCCGATCCGATTCATGTCGATTGCCGATCCGATTTATCGATTCGATTCTGGGCTCTCCTGCGTACGGCGGCGGCATTGGATAAGGAACGTCTTCCTGGGGCCCTGGCGCATTCCTCACTGTTTCAAGGCGAAGTGGGCGGCCCACGTCTGGCCGCCCATCGGTCGCGAGACCGTGGCTTCCTAATCGAAGGCATCCTCATCTAAAACCTCCACCGTACCTTGCTCAAAGCGTCCGTGCCAATACGTTGCGTGTTGGCTCAGCACATGTTGGCCCACGTTTTGGCGAACGCATCGCGTCTGACCCACGTTTTCAGTCCCCATGTCGGGTTCCGTATCAGTGCGCTTCTTGCGTGTTGCGTGTTGCGTGTGGGGGCAGCCGGGGTCGAACATCTGCCGCACGCTCTGCTCCCGCTCCTCCGAGGCTGGATGTCTGCAGGGGGGGCGGTTGAGTAGAGCCGGGGGGCTTCCCGCTCAAGGCAGGGTGGAGGGCACGAGCCACGTCTCGTGATCTACGCGGACGGGCTCGCACCAGCAGCGCCTTGAAAAGTTCAGCCGCAACCAGGGAGGATCGGACGGGGCCAGGACTAGGATAACTCCGTTCCTTAGCTGCCTCGATACGCCCGTTTTGATAAGCAACACGTGCAGTGTTGTTGGCTCAACGTATTGGCCCACGTTATGGCGAACGTATCGCGTCAGACCTACGTGTTCAGTTTATGTGTTGAGCTCCGTATCAATACGCTACGTGTTGCGTGTTGCGTATCGGGGCAGCTAAGCTCGGTTCCAGAGTGTTCCTGGAACGCTTTCCGAGCGTTCCGGAACGCTCGGAGAAGGCCGCAACGCCAGAGACATCATCCCCAAACCGCCAGATCCCAGAGACTCTCGACGTAGCCTCGCCCGATGTTTTATCTTCGTCCTGTGATGGGCGGGTTTTCCACCACCCCTACCATAGGTAAGAGGAGGGAGGAGGAGGAGGAGGAGGAGGAGGAGGAGGAGGAGGAGAGGAGGAGGAGGAGGAGGAGGGAGGAGGAGGAGGAGGAGGAGAGGAGGAGGAGGAGGAGGAGGAGGAAGGAGAGAGGAGGAGGAGGAGGAGGAGGAGGAGGAGGAGGAGGAGGAGGAGAGGAGGAGGAGGAGGAGGAGGAGGAGGAGGAGGAGGAGGAGGGGAGGAGGAGGAGGAGGAGGAGGAGGAGGAGGAGGAGGAGGAGGAGGAGAGGACCTCCCCATCCTCAAATTCTCCCCTGTGCCACCTGCGGTAGCGGTGGTGGAACATTGGCCCATCGTCCTGGCTTCGTCTTCGGCGAGGCCTCGCGCGAAGGGCCCCAGCTGTACGAAGCCCCGCACGGCGAGAGCCCGACGGGCCCTGCGTGTGTAGTGGCGAGGCGCTCGGCGCGTGCTCCGCGGGGCGGCGCGGGGAGCCCCAGCGCGCCTTCGCTCGGCTGAAGGGGCCCTGGGACACACAAATAAATACACACAAATAAAAAGATTCCCCATATTGTCCAATATTTTCTGGGTTTTCGTCTTCCCCCCCACTGCCCATGTTTTTCCTAGGGGTCGCCGATTAATTGTGTATGTGTTTTTTCCCCTCCTGATCGGCGGCGAGCGAGGGGGGGAAGTGAGAAAGGCCTTCTCAGAAGGCGGCGGGGCTTCTCAGAAGCCCTCGAGCCGTCTGAAAGGTTTTCTCTGCGTCTTCGGGGAAGGCTCCGACAACTTCTCAGGAGGCCCGGGGGCTTCCGAGCCTTCTGAGACGGCCTTACCCTTCTCACTGACTCCCCCCGGCTCGCCGCCGATGCGCAG